ATTGGTTAACTATTAGTTATATATAACTAGTAATCACCCATGCGATACACGGAATTTTACAAAGTGAACATAATAAAATAAAAAAAAAATTATGCTACTTAGTGGTATTTTCTAATATGAATAAAGTATTTTTATTTAATTTGTGTGTATGAACCTTACTATACATCTTTCAAAAATTTTAATATGAAATTTTTTAGAAAACTATCATAAATTATGTAAATCATCACATAACAAATAGATAATAAGAGTTAGTTAAGACAACCAAAAGTGGAGTAACAAAGCATACTAAGGCTTGGTTTGGGAAGTAGGTTGGCTTTTTGACTTTTTGGCTTTTTTGGCTATTTTAGCCTTGGCTAAAAAGCTTGGTTTGGGAAGGACTTTTTGGCTTTTTGACTTTTTTATTTTACAAAGTGAACATAATAAAATAAAAAAAAAATTATGCTACTTAGTGGTATTTTCTAATATGAATAAAGTATTTTTATTTAATTTGTGTGTATGAACCTTACTATACATCTTTCAAAAATTTTAATACTTCACAACATGAAAATTTTTAGAAAACTATCATAAATTATGTAAATCATCACATAACAAATAGATAATAAGAGTTAGTTAAGACAACCAAAAGTAGAGTAACAAAAGCATACTAAAATTATAATTAATCAAAATGACTAACATGGAAAATTTTAGAAAACTATCATAAATTATGTAAATCATCACATAACAAATAGATAATAAGAGTTAGTTAAGATAACCAAAAGTGGAGTAACAAAAGCATACTAAAATTATAATTAATCAAAATGACAAACATTAAATAAAAGAATGCTATTTTTTCTTTTTCTTTTTTCAATCAATAAGAGATATTATATTAATTATCCCAATCAGTATTGTTATCCAAAAAGCAATCTAAGAGGGGAGTGAATTAGGTTTCTATAAATTAAAATTAATAATATCCCAATAAAATTAACTACTAGTACAACAAATTATTAACAAGCACAATGATGAACTTAGCAGTAAATGATCAAGCAAAATAACAATGAAGTATAACTAACATACAGAGTAAATCAAATTATTAGCATATGAATATTAGATAAATATAGCAGTAGTAGGAAAGTAAAGAGATTACAGAAGAGGAGACAAAAAGATTTATAGTGGTTCGGCTTCAACCATGCTTACATACACTCCTCACGCTTCACTTGAGATTTTTCACTATCTTCTAACTTCACAGGGTGCTAGAAACCTTTCATAGATAGAGCAATCCTCTAAGATTTTACACAGACTTTATAAGTCAAGAACACCGAGTGTACTACACTCTTACAAGATTGAAAAGAATGTGTTTTTCCTTTCACAGAAATCTACAATAATTATCTTTCAAAGATAGATATAAAAATGAAACTCTGATTTTTCTGTAAACCTAACACAGGAAAGATGAGCTTAATGTTATAAGGCTCAGTATATAATTTCTGAGAGAGGATGTAAACAAATATTGAAGAACATTTCTCAGAGAATTTTTCAGAGAATAGATGTGTGTGATTATTAGATCAAAAAATATTTTCTGGTTTTTTTTTTTTGTAACTTGTTTACATTAGAGGCTTTGGTATATATAATGAAACTTATAGCTGTTTATAGCCATTGTATTCATTTGAATTGATAGTCGTTTATAGCCGTTGTATTCGTTTGAATTTATAGTCGTTGTACTCCATCATTATTAATTTGAATATCTTCCACTCCATCATTACAAATTTGAATATCTTTCACTTGAACCTTTTGAACCTTTTGGCCTGCTGCTGTGCTGGACTTTTTCAACCTTTGTTTTGGGCTGTTTGAACTCTTGATTTAATCAAATATTAAATACATTCTAACAACATTTAGGATAAAGGTTTATCACAGAAATCTACAATAATTATCTTTCAAAGATAGATATAAAAATGAAACTCTGATTTTTCTGTAAACCTAACACAGGAAAGATGAGCTTAATGTTATAAGGCTCAGTATATAATTTCTGAGAGAGGATGTAAACAAATATTGAAGAACATTTCTCAGAGAATTTTTCAGAGAATAGATGTGTGTGATTATTAGATCAAAAAATATTTTCTGGTTTTTTTTTTTTGTAACTTGTTTACATTAGAGGCTTTGGTATATATAATGAAACTTATAGCCGTTTATAGCCATTGTATTCATTTGAATTGATAGTCGTTTATAGCCGTTGTATTCATTTGAATTTATAGTCGTTGTACTCCATCATTATTAATTTGAATATCTTCCACTCCATCATTACAAATTTGAATATCTTCCACTTGAACCTTTTGAACCTTTTGGCCTGCTGTTGTGCTGGACTTTTTCAACCTTTGTTTTGGGCTGTTTGAACTCTTGATTTAATCAAATATTAAATACATTCTAACAACATTTAGGATAAAGGTTTATGTGAGAAATAATTGGACAAAATAAATTTTGATTCTATTTTTCTCTTTCAAATAAATCATCAAAATAAATTTTGATTATGTTTTTCTTTTTCAAATAAATTAAAATACAATTAAATAAATCATCAACATAAAATTTGGATTCTATTTTTCTCTTTCAAATAATTTAAAATATAATTAAATAAATCATCAAAATAAATAAGTCTAACAAGTATAATGAATTAAAATAAAATAAAATAAATTTTAATTTTAATTTCTATTATATTCAGTTAGTGGTTAAAAAATTTTACATGCTATTTGTTTTTTTTTTCCCCCTTTAATTTTATGTTGATTCACTAAACATAAATAGGTTTGAAAATGCATTAAAATTGAACAGACAAACATAAAGAATAGAAATATTTAAATTATTCAAAAAAATCTAACATTTTAAATATGAGATCGCTTGCATTTGCTCAAGCTTTGAATTTGCATAAAAAGATATTTAAAAAAAGAAGAAATTTGTGGTTTAGGTCTCAAAAGAAATGACTTCTTGAAAATTAATTTAATCATAAGTTATTTCAATATGACAATCAAAAACCAAATATAATTGATGATTAAAAAAGAAAAAGAAACAAAAACATAAATAGAATTTACAGAAAAATAAATAATAATATTCATTTACATAAACTCCATTTCCTACAAAAGCAAAAACTCATGTAAGTACACATTTCAAATGTAAAGCTAATATAATTTATAAAAAAAAAATCACTTGTTACTTGAAATTTAATGCAAAATTTTTTAGGCATCGTGAAATTGAGTCGAAAAGGGCTCAATATTAATTGTGATTTTTTTTTTCTTTTCAATCTCATGTTCATGGTTCATTTTTCAAACACTTATTTTTATATTGAAAAGATTAAGCTTAGAGAAAAGATATACTTTGAATTATAGCATATTTAATATTTATATAGATAATTAATTGATGATTTTTAAAGATAAATAAAGTTCAACTTGAAGATAAACTTTGAAAAGATTAAGTTAAAATATATGAAAATCTACAACAATCAAGTTCAAATAAAAGATAAACTCCAAGAAATAGGAAGTTCTAAAGAAAATAAAAATTTAAGTTCAAATTTAAAGATAAAATAAGATAAACATGAGAAAATATAATAAATTAAATAAAATTTCAACTTGGAAATCTTGATCTTATCTATAGGCTATGAAATTATTTTATTTTTTAAAAGCAAACATGAATGGATAAATGCTAACATTTATATATATTTTTATATATATATATATATATATAATATGTGAAAATAAGAGTTGTGAGAATTGTGAGTTCTTTTTTTATTATTTTTTAAATTTACGCGATACAGTGATTTTTTTTTCTTTTCAATCTCATGTTCATGGTTCATTTTTCAAGCACTTATTTTTATATTGAAAAGATTAACCTTAGACAAAAGATATACTTTGAATTATATCATATTTAAAATTTATATGGATAATTAATTGATAATTTTTAAAGATAAATAAAGTTCAACTTAAAGATAAACTTTGAAAAGATTAAGTTGAAAAATATGAAAATCTACAACAATCAAGTTCAAATCAAAGATAAACTCCAAGATATAGGAAGTTCTAAAGAAAATAAAAATTTAAGTTCAAATTTAAAGATAAAATAATATAAACATGAGAAAATAGAATAAATTAAATAAAATTTCAATTTTGAAATCTTGATCTTATCTATAGGCTATGAAATTATTTTATTTTTTAAAAGCAAACGTGAATAGATAAATGCTAACATTTTTATTTTATTTTATATATATGTATATATATAATAAGTGAGAATAAGAGTTGTGAGAGTTGTGAATTTTTTTTTTCATTATTATTTAAGTTTACGTGATACAATGATGTGAAGTTCTATATACATATTTATATCCACAACTATCATGAAAAATATTATTTGATTAAAAAAATTTTTTTTTTAGATAACACAATTGGGTGATGAACTGAAAATACTTAAATAGTGAGAATTGGAGTAAAGAAAGGTGCCACGTATTAATTTTATTTTTCTAAAATTATGAGAGTTTAGAATTCAAATTTTGGAATTTTTTAACCTAACAATTACATTTGGTTAGATATATAGTATGGATTACATTAATACTCCTTCACATAAAATACATTCCCTAAAAAAATTAAAATTTCAAAAATATTGATATAACTACATATAATAAAGATAAAAAATAAAATAGAATAAGAATAGCATTACTTATCAATATTGTTACAACACATGCTCACTTTCACATTTGTTAAAAGTGATCAAAACTTTGGAAGAGTAATGGGGACTCTTTGTTCGCAGCTTAAAAGTTCTAATTTTTAACTTTTAGCTGTGGCTAAACTGATAAATAATGATTATGTAACTTTTTTCAAGTAAATAAGTTATACAAGTTGCTTATGAGCCCACTTCGTCGCAATTTATTACAAGCTCAAAATTAATAATTAAAATTTTAAAATTAAAAAATCATATTTTTTTATAATTTCTTCTTCTTTTTTTTTTCAACTTAGTTAAATTACTCTTACCTCATAGTCATAAACATAAACTGCACCAAATAACACAAATTTTCAAAAAATTTAAACCAGACTCATAAGGTGCATCAAATAGGCCATAGAAATGTCACCAAACATGACCTAAAAATGCTAAAGAAAAAACACAAGTTACGTGAAGAAAAGTACTTTCAAACTATTTGCCTGAAATGGGTTCTGAAGTCAGTTTCTAAAGCCATAGCAGAGATATACAAAGAGCAGGTTCAGTCAGTAGGGACAATTGCATTGTGGTTATGAGGGAGGAGGGTGTTCACACACAACTGTACAACCAATGTGAGAATCAAAGCCTCCTGCAAAAAAACATAAGCCAGAAAGATCAAAACTTGACACCCAAAAAAATAAAAAAACTTGTTCATAAAGCAAACAAAAACAGTGATTCAATCATCATCTCCAAGCTAAATTCCATGTTCTTGTTTTTTTACAAGTCATAGCATAAAATTTCAACCCAAATAAAATAAAATTAAGATGGGCAAATTACAGTGACCTATTAGGTTTAGAGAAAATGCATCAATACCACAATTTTGGCATAATTACACCGACTTATCCCTTTTAATAAAGCTAAAGGGACCAAAAAGAAATGCAAATAGTATGAAGACACAGACTAAACAAGGTAAGATATATATTTTAGCGTGACATCATTTTTCCGTCCATATTGACTAACGAATTACTAATAAAAAAAAGAAAGCCAAGTGTTACGTGAATTAAAACACTAAAGAAACCCAATGTAATTATGCTAAATTTATGGGCCTATATTTTCTCCAAACCTTATGGGAAGTCCGTGTAATTTACCCAATTAAGAACTATCACCACCACAAACATCAGTAACCACATTTGCTTAAGATGAGAAAATGATATACATATATATATATATATATATATATATAAAAACAGAGGACAATCAACAACATAAATTCTCAGTAATTTCACCAGTATTTCAAAGTTGGATGCAAAGGTCGTCCTCAATGCCAAGTTCTACTACTCAAGATTAAACTGTAACACCTGCTAAAAGCTACTTATGGTCTCAGGTGAAAAGTCCCCAAAACAAAATCCTTGATTTCTTTGGTAAATCAGAAAAAAGACCTTGATAGCATCTCGTAGAACGAACATGACTCCTAATCCCAGAAATACAAATGGGATTCCAAAAGATATATATAGGAGAAGCAACTTCAATGAGCAGATACTGGATGTAAAGTCAGCAGAAACTTTGGAATCACATTAAACCCTCAATTTGGAAAATTCTGAATATATAATCTAAAATATGCCAAAACAGCATCAAACCAACTGACCCAATATAGACACTACTAGGTTTGGTTGAGTTGAGATTAGCTGTTTCACAGTAAATTGATCGGTTAAGTATTCCAGACAAATTCAGCCAAAATCAGCAGTTTACAGATGCCATGCTTCCTTAGAAGTGGCAAAACAGTATTCACTCACGAACGGATTAGCCAATATATACAAGGACGCAGACATGCACACACTCTTCTTCACAAAGTTTAGAGATTGTTGTTGCAAAACAGGACAAAAATTTGGTGATTAATTATCCTGCAATTCATCATATAGGCAAATATCCGTCCCTATCACAGGATGTAGCAGTGAGTTCCAAAAAAGGCATATGGATAGAAGAAAGTTCATTACCTTCATAGTTTTGTCGGGCAAGGTTCATTGATATGCCAAACAAAATTGCAGGCAAAACTATGCATGCTGAATAAATGGCGCAAGAAATGAGCTACTGAGATTGCAGAATCTCTCCTCAATTCCTCTAGCTTATAAATAACTCAACAATGCAAGGAATTCCACAGGTTCTTCATCTTCCTTAACAATCTGTTTCACATCCATCAGACTTGTATGGTCAGAATCCTATCACTAATAAAAGAATGCACCAATAGATGAATGTGTCACGCTTACATTCAAAAAGAGAATAAAGAAAGAAACAGGGCAGAAGCACATTTACAAGAGCTACATAACTCAAAACCTGCAGTAGCCAATCATAAGCATGCTATTTAATTTAATAAAAATAATGGTCCATCAGAAATAACCATGTTTGCTGGAAAGGAACCAAACGCCAGATGTGAGATAGGATAAAGAAAAAGATTACACTCCCAATAATGTTGCGAAGTAAGGAGTAAGGAGAGACACTCGGGTAGAATGATAGAGAGGAACAGGTATGAAACTACACAAAAATGCATGGCAAATAAGATTTCACAAGGTACTACAAAATTATGGTAACAAATATTTCCTAAAGTATTTTCCTGTGTTCTAGAATGTCCTCACATTTCCCGAGTCATTATAGCCCCTTGTTAAGGGAACCATACTCCTACGGCACCACCAACAGATCACTTACCGTGACCAGTGTTTTTAAAGGCTCAAGGCGCACTAAGGCGCTGAAGGTCTCTCGGGGCCTAGGCGCAAGGCACAAGGCAAGGCGCAGGCTTTATTGAAGTAAGGCGCACAGTCTTCGTAAAAAATAGAAAGATTAATATAGACTAATCATTCATAGTACATTCATTCCTATGATACATTCAATTTATGTAATGTATGTTATGTGATGAATTAATTAATTTAATTAATGTATGTAATGTATGAATCAATTTTCTGTTTTTTTTAATTAATGATGAATTAATTAATTAATGTACATTACATTCCATTACATTACATTCATTCCTATGTTACATTCAATTTTCTATTAATGTATGAATTAATTAATGTATGCAATGTAATGTATGAATTAATTAATGTTATGAATCAATTTCAGTATAATCATAATGAATGTAAAGTATATATTCTTTTATTTATGTATGTATGTATGAATTAATTAATTTATGTAATAATCATAATGAATGCAATAATCATTAATTAATTTTTTTAATTTATTTATGTAATAATCATAAATTCTTCTCTTACATATTACAAATAATTTTTTTTTTCAATAGTATATTACAAATAATTTTTTTTTCCCCTAATTTTTGTAATTTTTTTTTGTAAATTCTTACATTTTTACAAATAATTGAAAAAAAAAGAAAAGAAAAAAGAAAAATGTAATAGTATATTACATTTTTACAAATAATTACTCTTACATTTTTTTTGCAGACTCAACTCAAATAATTGAAAAAAAAAGAAAAGAAAAAAAAAAAAAAAAAAAAAAAAGAAGAAGCAAAACAAATCACTGATGAAGGAAAGAGAGGAAGAGTCGAAGGCAAAAAACAGAGCTGAACAAGTGAAAAAAAAAAAAAAAAAAAAATGAAAGTCGAAGTCCAGTGTCGATCGAAGACGAAGAAGAAGGAGAACGGGAGAGAGAGTCGAACCTGCGAAGCCGAAGTCAAAGCCCAGTGTCGCAGACGTAGTCGCAGACGAAGTCCAGCTCCAGCAGCCCAGTCGCAGTCGATTGCGAGGCGAAAAAGGAAGAGACGACTTCGATTAGGGTTATCTGAGTCCTATTTGGCTCATATGCTACATGAGTCGTAATCCTCTGTGATTACGAGCCATTCGAAAGGTTCATCTGAGTCGTTAGATCAGATCTACATCTTAAACACTCAGTTGCGCCTAGGCGAGGGCCTTGCGCCTCTCTCGCCTTGCTCAAGTCGCTGCTAAGGCGCTCGCCTTGCTCAAGTCGCCTCGCCTGGTACCTGTACAGTCGCAGATGATGCGCCTCGACTCGCCCTGCGCCTAGGCGCGCCTTTGATAACACTGACCGTGACTATAGCCGTCACATCTTCAACATAAACAAATAATTGAGAGAGAGAGAGAGAGAGAGAGAGAGAGAGAGAGAGAGAGAGAGATTAAACAGAAAAAATGAGTCAGTGACATTCATGGAAAAGAAGAGCCCATTTTTAAGATTAAAGAGTAGATTTGTGTCTTTCTTGTATGGTTGGGGGTGGTCAATCTATCCTAGAACCAATTTTTGACTTTGTAGAAGCCTTCAAATAGGTTTTTGATGTATAGTTGGGATAGAGTTTCTTTGTCTTGCTAGGGATGGCAATTTGACCCCAGCCCGACGGGGACCCGACCCCCCGAACCTAATTAAAACGGGTTTTCCCCGAAAATAATCCCCATAGGGCCGGGGATGGTATTAAAACTTAAATCCCCGTTAATTTTCGGGCCGGGGATGGTGATAAGTTTCCTGGCCCCGCCCCCGCCCCGCCCAGCCCAGCCCAGCCCAGAAATCCCCGAACAGTTCCCCATGTGTATATATTTATGTTTAGGCTTTATTGCTTAAAGATATAATATAATATAGATATTTATTGCTTTACGGATAGATGTATAATATAATATATATATTTATTGCTTTATAGATAAATGTTATCTGAACTGTCTCTCTCTCTCTCTCGTTCTACTCTCTGTGTCTGATCTAAGCCGCGATGGAGAGATCAACGACGGAGAGCATTTCTGAGCACCACCGTGATGAATACACACACACACACACACATATATATATATATATATTTTTTGATCGGCGAATCCGCGATGAATACATATATATATTCTGATCTGAGGTTGAGGTTGATGTTGATGATGAGATGAAACAGATGCTATGTTGGCTTTTTTTTTTTCTTTTTTTGAGGAGGCCGGGAAATTTTCAGGGTCGGGGAAACCCGATCCCCGTTGGGGGGGGGGGAAGGGGACCGTGATAGGTTTTCCGTCAGGGATCGGGCCCGGGGACAGGAGAATTTTTACCATCGGGGATCGGGAACGGGGAGTGTGATCCCCGGCCCGGCCCTGGCCCCGGCCCGTTGCCATTCCTAGTCTTGCACCCCCCCGTGCCTCATTAATATAATTTTCTTCATTTTACCCCAAAAAAAATTGTTTAGCATCCTTATGAGAAATCATGATAAGCATATATTTCCAGAACATTAAAAATAAATTAATAACATTAGTAATCATTTCAGTTTTCTTCATTTCTTTTACAATAATCATCCCATGGCGTCCTAAAGTGCCACCTGCAGAGAGATACTTCAATTTATTCGTATCCCATGGTGTAATACCATAGGAAGAACATGGAACAGGACAGTGGAAAAGCCAAAAGGGAGGCCACCAGTTCATCTGATGGAATGGGAAGTTTTCCCTTTTAGAGAAAGCACTATGAAGTAAATGGAAGAGTCCAGCCAACAAGATTTATCAAATGGTAATGAAGCTTGCCATTTGGTCTGTTTGGCTATGCTGGTATACAGCTTATGCTGGAAATCTCAATCAATCCCACTCTCAATAGAACTTGCCTCTTGAACAGTGAGAAGCTCATGTAGAACTAAGAGAATAATTGGTTTAGTAGTGGAATCAATCAATAGCTTGCTCAAACAGGGATATGGAAAGAAGCCTAAAGTTTGCCAACAGACAGCTATTTGATTCCCATAAAAGTCTGCATCAAATCACTCTCTAACTAATGGATGTAAATGAACAGCATGACCTTCCAGTAAAATGGGATCACTTGACCTATGTACACGCCAACATAAACTTCTGACACATGGTCAGCTTCAGTTCTAGTCAAGATCAGTAGCAGTTCTTTTCCTGGCTCAATTCATCATTCATTTAAGTCTTCTACCCTGCATGCTTCCCTAATAGCAGTAAGGAAACTGGAATGGTTTAAACATCTACAGTCTGTAGCGACACCAATAATAAAACAATCAGATAACTGGATTTTGTCCCCCATAGTATACAAAAACTGCATTATCTTTCACACAACTCCATATGTATACATGGTTATGTAACTAACACATTGAAAGCAACCATCTAAGCTGATTAAGCAAGAGAAAAACAAAATAAATTAAAAGGAAAAGGAGGTTAATTGAGTCCTGCACTCCCAAATGAGTGTCTCAAGAGTGACAGGCCTTATGAGCAGATGTGCCCATGCGAGAGAGTCCTCTGAGTTTCACCTTGCACTCTAATCTAGGTGAATGGTGTTTTCCACAAGTGTGACACAAACATAGAAAAATGCAACACCTTCATTTTCTAGCAACAACCTAAGACTATGGTACTCATATCTTAAATATACATTAAAAAAATCATATTTTAATTATAGGTTTTACTAGCAAGTGTCCCTAGGGTACCAGTAAAAGACAAAAAAAATTGAAGAGCACAAGACATTTTTCATTAAATCAATGCACTTTTTTTTTAATCAATACAGTTTTTAAGATTTGTACATATTTTCAAGAGACTTTGTATACACTTTCCAACATTAAACAATGCTCATGGGGCACTTGCTAGCATTTGCCTTCAATTATAGTTTCAAAATTATTAAGTCATAATTTGAATTTGGTTAGAAATCTTTTCTAGGGTTGAAATCCAGCTCAATAAAATCTTAACAATTCATTGTGGAATTTGAGTCTTACATAGTCGCCAAATGATAGGGCAATTTCTAGAAGGTTTACAAGTGACATCTAAGTTCTGCCACGTAAATCAAGAACAAAGTTGAGTGAAATGATTTCTCTTGAATAATGAATAGGGAAATCCTCTATAGGTTTGGGTGCAGATCTCAAACAAAGCCTCATTGACTAAGGTCCTCTTCTCCATGATTTCTCCTCCTTCCTATATTTTCTTCTTTTATGAAACTATTTATTATAGCATTGTTCACTCTCCTTTCACACACAACATAATTTTCTTATAAGATTATGTTGAGTTGTGTTCACACACAGCATAATCTTCCCTAATTAATCCTTGTAGATCAATCTTCGAATCTAAACACATAGGAAGTCCCACATCAACACAAATCTTCATAATTTGTAGTAACAAGAACGTCATATGGTCGAAAAAGTTAATTAAAATTTAAAGGGTTTATTTTCTTTCTACCCCAATATATTTTTAAACTATTAGTATAAAATCTATATAACTAT